AGTTCTCGCTTTAGCCGCTAGACCAGCTCGGAAATGGGAGGAGATTGCAGTGGGGATGGTGCAAGACTCGCCGCAGCCTGGGCAACAAACCTTGAGGGAAAGGGGATCCGGTTTAACCTCCTAAAAAGCACCTGCAAGTTAGAAAGGGGAGTTTTCATTTTAAGTACACACCACTCTCCTCCCCGTTCTTTAAATTCAGATTCAGCAATTCCAGCTTGAACAGCCAGTCCCGGCCAACTGGTCTGCCCGGGGCCGCGCGAGCCCCTTCAAGCGCACAGCGAAGCCCAATGGGCGCGGCTCCAGGCGCTCGCCGGTTTCCCAGGCTCGTCGGGAGCTGCGCGCTGCCTCGCCAGCCTCCTCTCTGCTTTCACAGCCCAGCGCTCAGGCTGTTCAGTGCAGTTTCCTTCCAGCCTGGTGGTTCATCAGTGCTCCCCGGAACGCTTCCTCTTACACTTGGTGGTCTCTCAAGCCAATTTTATTTTTCTGTAAAGTTTCCCCTTACAACCCTGCCACCACCACCCCTACGCGCGCGCGCGCACACACACGCAGTGTGCCAAATTCTGTGTGATACAATTCTAATTCTGCTGTGTCATATAGCAACCACCTCTCTGTATCTGTTAGTATTTGTTTCCATGTCTGTTTTCCCTTGGGTGGTAGGATTTGTATTTTATATTATTCTCATGGCCTGGCACATATTAGGTGCTTAATGTCTGATGAGTGAATGAATGAAAGCATGAAGACAGGAAGGCACCACAATGAGAAAGGAAGGAACTTGTGTGTCTGGAGAAAGCCTGTTGTTTCTATAGTTGTTTCTCATGCTGGCTCGGCTCCAAAGGGAGAGGCAACAGGCTTATTGAAGAATAGGTTGGATTTAGAGAAAGTCTGGAAATTCTGGAAAAAAAAGAAAGTCCATTCTGGAACTGAGAGATAGAGAGGACAGGGATCTCTAGGTGGGTAAGAATACTAAAAGGGCTCTTTTAATCTTATGGATAAAGAATTAGATGAACCAGTCCTCAAGGAAATCCATCTCCCTATGGGGGCTGGCTGGGGAAAAAAGAAATCTGTCAACATAACCATGGCCTCAGTCCCAGCCCCATAAACAGTGTGCTCCATAAAGGTTGATAAAGCTATTGCCTATATGAAGCACACTGAGGGCCACCGTGGACTCCTACTGCTATAAAATAAATCACCTGCTTGCCACAAAATAGTTGTCCCTGCCTAATAGGCCAGACAGGCCACCATTCTCAGGGGCAGGTAACAGAGGCAGAGACATGGTCTCTAGAAGGCGATTGCTGAGCTGCACGTGTTCCTTGAGGGTATTAGAAGAACTCTGGGTGTCCAAGGAAATAAAATAGATTTGATTTCCACCATTACAACCTAAGTTAATTAGCTACTTATCACCTCAGTGGGCATGAGGGCTCATTTTAAAGGGGTTGAGGCACAGGATCAGAGTTAGTAGGAGGAGACAATAGCACACAGAAGACACAAACAAATCTTCAGGGTCTGTGAAGGAAAGGTGAGTCACCAGATCAGGAGCATTGCCTGGTATTTCAATATACCTCTCACTCTATCTTCACAACACATGGTAGGGTAGATTATTTAATAACAAAATATTTTTATAACCAATAGAGACCATTTATGAGGACTTACCATATGTTCACTTTACTTAAATTATCTTATTTAGTCCTTACAACCCTAATAAGTTTAAAGACAAGAAAGTGAAGACTTAAAGAAGTTAAATCTGTTCAAGGTCAAACGAGTTTTAAGTAGTATAGCTTAGATTTAAACCCAAGTCTCTTCATTCTTAACTACAGTATTACATAGCTTATTTGTTATCTGAGCCTTGGGGTAGTTATGACTTGCCCAAGGCCACTAGCTAATAAATGGCAGACCTGGGGCTTCAGTCTAGGCTTATGTGCTTCCCAAACCCACACATTTTACACAGGAGGTTAGAGCACATCCCCAGTGGGAGAGTCACAGAAAACACTTCAAATACTTCAAAACTTGCCTTCCAGGAACTCAATCATATAAAGTCTCACCTCAGGAGAACCAAAGATAACCTTTCACCATTCCTAAGCAGTCTGTATCCTAGGGGACTCAAAAAGAACTGAAAGTCATTTGACACTGAACTTTATTTGTTCTGGCCATCTGATATACTGTCCACCATGCTGGGAAACAGAGACAATGCCCTCTGCAAAAGGCCAGAGACATGCCAAAGTAAATACTGTGGGCCTCAAGGACAGCCCTGAAGGACAGATTCTGTGTTTGCTGGTCAGATGCCTGGTCAGGTCTCCTCTCTTCTCAGTTCTAAATGGGTGCTGCACCCTGGAGACCAATAACTGGCTTTGGTATCCAATGTCTTGATTACAAAGAAATATAAGTTACCCAGTTGTTAACGAGAATCAAATTCTCTTAACTGGCTGTGACAGAAAAATGGGAGGGGGTGGGGCGGATCCAGAGATAGAAATTAACTTGAGAATTTCTAGTAAATAGGCAGGGGCTGGAAAAGTGATTCCACCAGAGAAGCGCTACAAAGTGTGACTGGAATTGCCCCAGAAACATTTTCCTAAGAGCTGTTTGTGCTGAACAACCAGTGCTGAGCAGGGAGGGCTTGGTCCCCAGAGACTTCCTGCCACTCACTCCAGCTTCCTCCCTAATGCAGACCCCACTCATGCAGACTCCAGGGGCTGCTGCTTCCCGGAGCTGACAAGGTGAAAGGGTTTCCCGCCATCAAGCAGCAATCCTTTCCCTTCTCTGTAGCTTACAGAGGGCTCAGAAGTGTGTGAGGCTGGAGACAGGAGACAATACTGCCTGGGGCATCCGGGCTTCTCTGCTATTCCGGCTCCAGCCACCTGGGGGACCCTGGCTCTAGAGAATCGGGCGCCTGGCTTTGCTCCTGGGGAATGGTGCTGGTGGGAAGCCCACGGCCAGCAGGCCTGGAGCTGCGCTGTTGCACCAGCACCTGAGGGCGGGCGAGTGCACCGCGAGTCTCAGGTTTCAGGGGGATGGCAGTTGCCTGTCTAAAGGCTTCTCTGTTCCTTGGAATTGTACAGAATGTCTCCTGTGGCTTTTCCTCCTCCCTCTTTTTTCCTGTTGACTCTCCCCGGTTGGCTTTCTGAATCACCAGACTCCAGAGGAAAGCAGCAGATGTTGACTTTACTTCTTTCAAGCCAACGTCAGCTCCCTCCTGTGGCGCGGGGAGCAGGCAGGAAGACGAGAGGCAGGGACCAGAGGAGGATAAGCCCCGTCCTTTCCAAGCTGTGCAGGAGAAGGTGCAGGGAGCCTGAAAGGAGTCAGGGCCCCAGACAGAACATTCTTGATTCCTGAGGACAGAGCAAGGCCCCGTGCTGGCTGTGGAGCCGTGGCCGTGAGGAGAAAAGCAGACAGTGGGAGTGCTCCTAGTCTGGGCGCCAGCCCTTCTTGTCTGAGGTAAGGCCTCATCTCCTGCCAGCAGCTTCCTCATGACTCAGAAGTCAAGTCAGGGTTCAGGTCGGGAGACAGCCCAGAGGCTCATTCTTGTCCCATCTGAGCCCCCGAGCCTCTGCTCTTTTGCAAGTCTTTTGGAGAAGCTTCCAGGGAGGACTTTCTAGGACTTTATTCTACATTCATTGCTCCAGTTTCTCTTCTCTTTTTTCTTCCTCAGGGATCTTCTTACGGGCAAAGAAGCCAAGCTGTAGAGGGAGAGATAAGAGTTGTCAAATGCCCCTCCTGGGAACCTTGCCAACAACCCTCAGAC